TACTGCTACTGCTACTGCTACTGAGAATGTGAATGCGAATGCGATACAGACACGAATACGAAAGGAATTAGATATTTTTGATTATACATATACGAATAAGAATGCGAATGCACGTACTCTCACTAATACTAACAGTCTTACTTGTACTCATACTCACACCAATACTAGTACCTACACCAGTACTAATACTGATACTAACACTAATACTAATACCATTACTGTTGCTAGTTACTCGTACTATTACTTTTATAATTCCTGAGACTTTCTAGCATTAAGAGCCGTGATCACACAACAGTAGCACGAGTCACAAGAGGGATGAGTCACGAGATCGTGCTATTAGGTATCCCTGAATCTTGACATGCCTCCAATCCGTCTTCAGGGCATCAGCGCGACCTGCAAGTTGACCTCCGAGGCGTTTAACGCGGCAGCGCTGGCAACGTTGGATGCATGTGGTGCTGTTGGGTCGGTTTGCAAAGCGGCCACTTTAGATTCAAAGGGGAGTCCGTTGTCCTGACATAGCAGAGAAGCCGGACGTTGGGGAACGAGGCCAGTAAAGTTGCAAAGTTCGGGCTTGCAATGGTCTTGGCCTCAGGATTTTGCATGAAGATCCTTATGAACATCTTGTAAAGTGCAGTCTTCGTGGAAGATTTGTGGAGCCTGTGGAGCAGTCCAAGCCCCGGCCGCCCCGGCCGCCCCGGCTGCCAGGACAGCCTGAGTGTGATCTCCCAGGCCACTGCCGAATTCGATGCCTGGCAGCTTTTGGGCAAAGAGCCAAAAACCCTAAAATCGCAAAACCGTAAAGGCCTCAAGCCCTGCTCCTTGGCCTCGGGACTGGCATTCAGAGGACGAAACGGCGGGAGTTTTTGCCTTGTGGTTTTTTTCTCAAGATGAAAGCCTAAAGCCCTCAAGCCAAACGACAAGGATCGGAACTCCATGCAGCGCGCCCGCCTGCAGGGCGCAATCAAGGAGATGCGTGCTCGCCGGGTTGTAGGATGAAGTCTTCTCGCTGTACAGTATGAACACGATGGGAGAATGTGATGTAGCTTCGGATTCACTTGCAGCATGCCCGTACGTGCACAATGATATCTTCATGCAACCTCGCATGGGTCCTGAAACGTCCATCTGAACCAGCATATCATCGTGCATCACCGCATGCCGCAGCCGACTGGTATATGTTAGTGTTGAATGGTTATTGTAGGATTCAGCGAATGCTAGCATGCGTTTATATGTTGTGGTTCTGGACTGATCGACAGTTTCGTACTGCACGACACCTTAAGCCCCGAGTTCTAAAACCCTGAACCCGAAGCCTAGGTCCCAAGCCTCAAGCTCCACGCCGGTTTAGGGTCGATTTAGGTTAATGGGATTGTAGGGTTTGGGGCTAAGCTCAGACGTCTGTGCATTGAAGATGCACGTGAGCCCGCCCATTCTGTAACTTTGGGGTAAACCGTCCTGATCCATTTCATGGCGTGGTCTGCTTACCTTTCCAAACTCGCAGTGCGTGTCGAGGGGGTCGCTAGGCTTGAGCTTGGAAGTTCAACATGCTTCCCTAAACCCTATAAGCCCTAAACTTGACTGTGCTTTCGGCGATGCAAGCCTGGATCATGTTAGCAATACGCCAAGATGCGAAGCGCAACTCCTTGCCTTCTCTTAAGTTCGGGGGTTGTCCCCGGGTCCAGGGAAGCTTGATCCCCATACTGTATTGATTGCCCTTTTATATTAGAAAAGGGCTAGGTAAATGTCGAGCACCCCAAATGCGAGTCCCACACCTCTAGTATAGGGGTCTGACTAACTAGTACTACTACAGTCCCATACTTAGTCCCCCTAGAAGATAACTGAACCGTAAGATCTCAAGCAGCCCTGTTTTGAATCTCGTCTTTTCGCGCCGCCTATACTTTCAATGCAACTCCGGCATTCGGCATGTTGGCCATGGATTGATCAGAAGCATGAGCCTCCATCATGTCGCTGACGCATGCTGACGCTTGAGGTGAGCCTCATAAGTGGCAAGACGGTGTCACTTCAGACACACTGGGACGAATCTGTGGAATCGCTGAGAGTTCGTGCGCAGAGAGCCCTTGGGGTTGGCAAAGGCCGGCTCTTGGACTCCACTGGAAGCGTTCTTGATGGAGGAGCACCGGTAAAGAAGGCCAGGTTGCCGCATGCGGAGCCGCTGACGCTGCAGGTTCGAAGAGTGGACATATGCTCCGGTGGGGGTGCTTTCGCTGCGATCCTGGGGGATGGCTCCGTCGTGACATGGGGCCAGGCCGTCTTCGGTGGTGACAGCAATGCTGTGCAATCTCATTTGCAGACTGTGCAACAGATTCAAGCAAATAATGGAGCAAAGGCTGCGATCCTGGTGGATGGCTCAGTGGTTACTTGGGGACTCGCTAGCATGGGGGGTGATAGCAGTGCTGTGCGAGACCAGCTGAAGAATGTGCAGGAGGTTCAAGCAACTCATTGTGCCTTTGCTGCGATCCTGGGAGATGGCTCCATCGTGACTTGGGGAAGTGCTGACTTCGGCGGTAACAGCAGTGCTGTGCGAGATCAGCTGCACAATGTGCAGCAGGTTCAAGCAACTTCGCGGGCCTTTGCTGCGATCCTGGGAGATGGCTCCATCGTCACTTGGGGCGATGCTGTTTCCGGTGGTGACAGCGGTGCTGTGCGAGATCAGCTGCAGAATGTGCAGCAGATTCAAGCAACTTCGCGGGCCTTTGCTGCGATCCTTGCTGACGGCTCCATCGTCACTTGGGGCGATGCTGTCTCTGGTGGTGACAGCAGTGCTGTCAGAGATCAGCTGAAGAATGTGCAGCAGATTCAAGCAACCAAGCATGCCTTTGCTGCGATTCTCGGGGACGGTCAGCAGATACAAGCAGCAAAAAATGGGGCCTTTGCTGCGATCTCGGGGAATGGCTCCGTCGTGACCTGGGGCGATGCTCGCTTCGGTGGCGACAGCAGTGCCGTGCGAGGTCAACTGAAGACTGTGCAGCAGATTCAAGCAACTAATGGAGCCTTTGCTGCGATCCTTGGTGATGGCTCCGTTGTGACCTGGGGGACAGCTGGCCGCGGTGGTGACAGCAGTGCTGTGCAGGATCTGCTGAAGCATGTGCAGCAGATTCAAGCAACTTCTTATGCCTTTGCTGCGATCCTGGGAGATGGCTCCGTCGTGACCTGGGGCGATGCTGACTGTGGTGGTGACAGCAGTGCTGTGGGAGGTCAACTGAAGAATGTGCAGCAGATTCAAGCAACCGAATATGCCTTCGCTGCAATTCTTCGGGATGGCTCCGTCGTGACCTGGGGCGATGTTGTCTCCGGTGGTGACAGCAGTGTCGTGCGAGATCAGCTGAAGAATGTGCAGCAGATTCAAGCAACTAATGATGCCTTTGCTGCGATCCTTGCTGATGGCTCCATCGTGACTTGGGGCGATGCTGACCTCGGTGGTAGTAGCAGTGCTGTAAGAGATCGGCTGAGCTACGGGTAGACAGACATTTCACCATGCATGACGCCTGTACCCCCAAACCCCAAAACCCCAAACCCTAAACCCTAACACCCCAGACCCCAAAACCCCAAACCCTACACCCTAACACCCCAGACCCTAAAACCCCAAACCCTAAACCCTAACACCCCAGACCCAGACCCTAAAACCCCAAACCCTAAACCCTAACACCCTAAACCCTAAAACCCCAAACCCTACATGTAAGACCCCAACACCCTAAACTCTAAACCCTCTGCAAGCATCCTGCCGGATAGCTTGCAAGAGGAACCCTAAGAACTCCCCAACCCTAAACCCTAAACCCTAAACCCTAGACCCTAAACCGTGGTCCGAAATCCCAGAAGCCCAGAAGGAGAAGCCCGCAAGTCTGGACCTGGCCTTTGCCGGCTGCAGCCTTGGGATGCCTAAGGGTTCTAGGGGTTTTAGGGTTTAGGGTTCTAGGGTTCTAGGGTTTAGGGTTTAGGGTTTAGGGTTCTAGGGTTCTAGGGTTTAGGGTTTCAGGGTTCTAGGGTTTTAGGGTTTTAGGGTTCTAGGGCTTTAGGGTTCTAGGGTTTCAGGGTTTTGGGGTTTTAGGGTTTCAGGGTTTTAGGGTTCTAGGGTTTTAGGGTTTAGGGGTTTTAGGGTTTTAGGGTTTTAGGGTTTTAGGGTTGAGGGTTTTAGGGTTGAGGGTTTTAGGGTTTTAGGGTTCTAAGGGTTTGCCAACTGAAGC